GAACTATTTTCTTTAATTAGAATTTGTGATATGCCTTGAGAATAGCAGTGGAAATGTACTTTGGTGTGTATTATTATCCAAGCTAATAAAACTTTCAATTCCAGGCTGCTTTGATGATCTCTCTGATTTGGAAGTACTATTCTGAGCCAGTAACAGTGCTTCCAAGCAAATGGCTTGCTCCACTGGAGCGCCTAGTAGCCTTTCCCACGGGGGTGGCAGGTAAGGACTGTATATACGGTAGGAAAAAATACATTTCCCAAGCCCATGCAGATATGGAATAGATCCTGGAGAAGATTTCAAATCAGAAATATTTTTATATGGAGGAGTCCACTGAAACAGTGGAATTGGGTTTAAAAACAGGCAAATACTTCATGGGTCTGTATCACTTACATGTGTTTCTTATAAACTGCTGGGGTTTCACAGTAGCATAACTCCAGAATGATTTAAGTATGCTCTCTCTTGGCATTTTGTCTTGTCTGTTCCCCACCTTTTTCCCATCACAATTCTGTTGCATTTTTACCTACTTAAATCCTTTTCTTTTGGGAAGTTTAACAAATTAACCATCAGAAGGGCATCACAGGTTGTAGATAGCTGTTTCTGAGTGAAAAGTGTACTGGCTGTATGCTGATGGTGTAAGTAGACGGGCAGAATGACAGGACAATGTCATGTGGAAATTTACCATCAAGCTAAAGTGCTGCTGGTGAATCTTCGTGTTAGGCTTGTAAGTCCTAACTGCCTTAGCAGGAATTGTATATTGTTGTATCTTTAATAGCTGTCTAGAGAATGGTTTGTATCCAGCACAAGTTCTGCTTCTGTGGAGGGTGGGGGAATAGTCCTTGGAAGACATTCATTTAAACAGCATTTGAAGGGATTTAAAAAGGTTCACATCCATGTCTGCCTTCAAATCTCCTTTTTTGCCTCGGCTGATAATCACTTTACTGAGGAGATCGCCTTTGCATTCTAGGTGATAAAGTTGAGAACACAAAAATGTCTAAAAATCACCAAAAAGTTAGTTTCTTCACCTGTGTGCCATGTATTCTACTCATGGATAGCCATGTATTCTGTGATATGATGTGGCATGATTCTATGTAGTCTGCAGTGTGGATGTGCTGTCTATTACAGTCGGGACACACCCTCTATTCTGTCATGCCAACACAAATTTCTGTGCTGCTAGTTGGAACGGCAGGACCCTTTGAAAGGGCAGTGGAAGGCACCTGGGTCAGCAGCGAAGGTCCTGGTAGTGTTTTTCTGTGTAGCTGTATGGGGAGCAAGGGGAAAGGAAAGGAGAGAAGTATGGATTTAATGCTTGTAAAAAGACCGATTTAAAAGTCGGAGGAAATTTACTTTTTACCTCTCTCAAATCTTGAATTTAGGTTCTAGCAAATTATTCTGTTACTCGCCAAGCCTTTAACTTCAGCACCTTAGACGTTTTCTGTTAGGCACACGGTGAATGTTTTTAGCTCTGGGTTGTATAGACCACACTTTGGCTCATACTCATGTTACTTGGTAATTTTTTTCCCCAGACAATCTTCAGGTTTTGTCAGGATCAACATAGAGTTAGCTGCCATCCCTTGAAAAGAGACATTTATATATAAAAGAAAGATGTTTTGTTCCTCTTCGTCTCGTAACTCTTAAGTTTCATTTTTTACGCTTCCAAACTGTTTTCAGATGCTTGTGTGCTTCAGGGTTACTGATGCAATGACTTAAATCGTGTTTTATATCTCTTTCAGGTGGTGTTGGAATTACATGTTGGCTTGTGGTTTGTAATAAAGTTGTAGCTATCATGCTACACCCTTTCAGCTGAAGGAATCCCAGTAATCCATGGAGTCCTCAACTACATTTTCATTATCACTGTTTTAAATGAATAGAAAAAAGAAAAAAGGAACAGTTGTCTTTCACGAGACTAGGTGTGAGATAATCTTTGTTACTTCATTTGGATATCAGTCAGTACTCTTTTTGATTTCCCTAGTTTGTTTTTTCAGTTTGGTGGTCAGTTTTCAAAGAGTAGCATCACTCTAGGACCTCATTTTGTGTCTATTTTGATGAGTATGAACACTGATTCATGGCAGAACCGTAAGACTTTGTCATGGCATATTCACCAATATCTAAAATCATTGGATTTGTTTTTAAGTTGGAAATATGCTGGCATTAGGAATTAATTTGGGAGCTTTGCTGTATAATATGGCAGTTTCACCCAGAGGTGGGATTATGTTTGGTGACAAGCGGTACTAGAGGACAGAGGTGTAGGTGTTGTGGTTGGCTTAGTGTAAAGCAGAATTAGTTTCCTCATTGTTATTTTTTTACATTAGAATTGGTGTATTCTTGGGCTGTCTCAGAAAATGGAGTATTGACATATGCGCAGAATCAACCTTTTATCTCTTAAGAGACTCACTCAGTTGCCAAATACAGGATGGCTGGCTACTTTTTCCTCAGTTTAAAATTCATTGAACACTTGAATTTTTTCCTATGTTCCTTTCCTTCCTTGACATTTTTTCTGCTTCCCAAACTGAATGAGCATGACTGAAACTATTTCTTTCCATGTTTTGGGAGAAAAGGTCTGGCCATCCTTCTCAAGCTGCATGTTAAGAAAGAGAAGGTAGAAGACACCGTCGGAGGACTACATTCCTAGAGCTTTAGCATATATTCATGACAGTCTGGGATAGCCCGAAACAGCTATGGAAATGTAAAAAGGCAAATTAGTCATTTAAATGTCTGATGTAGTAACAGAATGGTAGCAAGTAGGAGCAGGAGGAAAAACAATTTTCTGTTTTGGACCAAATCTTTCTTGCTGTATTTAAGTACAGGGAACAGTCAAAATATTTTGAATTTAAAGGCGAACAGAATTCTTCCTAGTACCGTGCCCATAGAACAGCGACAAAGTTGCGTTATCTTCCCTGCCACGGTGGTATCTGCAACCCTGTCGTTGCTGCCCCGTAAGACAAATAGGTGGGTTTATAAAGTTCTTGTTCCACACCTCCTTTTTATTTTTGATGTGAGCCTGAACAAAGCTCTGAGCGATGCCTTTCCCTCTTCTGCTGGGCTTTGCCAATTCTGGTTCCGCTTCCCACTCTGTATGGCGGAATCCATTTGTTACGTTATTTCAGGTCCTTCGGCTTCCTGCAGGAGCAAAGGAAGGGGCTAGGGCCCCTCTGTGATTAGCACTGCATTGAGAAATTAATTTGAAAGGTCATGATACATTGTATATATGCATTAATTTTATTTTATTTTTTAATGTTAATTTTTAAAAAATGGTTTTATGTTGGGGATTACATTTAGCCAACATGGAAATGGATGTATTAAATATCATCAAGAAAAAAAATGTTGTGATTGAATGTCATGTATAATTCTGCTTTTATTAACTAAATAAAGCTTTTCAATCCATCTCAGGTTTTCTAATCCATTTTTCAATGTTAATTAAAATTTTCCTAAAAAAAAAAAAAAACCCAAATCAAAACCACCCCCCCCAATGTTCTTGCATAAGGAGATACTGTTGGAATCAACTGGCCTGATTTTTTTTTGTTTTTAAAGTATTCAGGACAGATTATTTAACTATGACATTGACGTATTTCTGAATCTAAAGATGTGGCTAAAGATATTTCTACTTAGCTTGTCACAGACTTTACCCCAGCGAAGTCAAGAAAAGCAGCAGCATTTAAAGTCTTAACAGTGGCATTTGCCGTTTATCCACGCTTACCATGGGGTCATCAAATAGGCAGCTTGCTGGCTGCTCTAGTCAACCCTGTGGATGAGTGGGGGCAAAAAGGCTTTGGGTCATCTAGTCACTGCAAGGTGGGGTGTTGGATTATGTTGCTTCTTTGCTCTTCGCTTTGGGACAGCAGTAAAGGCATTGTAGAAGCATTAATGGTTCATAGAGCAGAAACCTACTCTTCTGGCTGCACAAAGTCATTCTTAAGCACTACTTTAATAAAAACCTTCGAAATTTTGAAGAGAAACATTCTGCAAGTTGGTTCGGATCTAAATGTCTTAATAATCTTTGAAAGCTTTTGCAGTATAAATTTGGAAGCTTTTTTTAGGTGCTACTGCCTTTTAAAATAAATAGAATACACATAATTTCCCCCAACTTTATATTTTAGCAAACGTTTCATGAATTGCTACGAGGAACAAAACATAATCCTCCTACCCTCGCTTACATAACCTTAAACACAGGATTTTTAAAGGCTTTTTGAGAGCTAGATATGCCTGACTTCTCCAAAACAATAGTTTACTTTTCACATTCATCTTTGGATGTCAGCTGTGGAAGTTACCAGGCAAACTGCTTTGATAAGTTCTAACAGTGGAAAAGAATGAAGCTTTAGAGCTTTATAATGCTAGTGAAAACAATGTAATAGCAAATTATTTTTATTATGTGTGAATTCTGGAAGCTAGTTTGGGAGGGAAGAAAATAAAAAATTATTTTATTGCATTGTTGGTACTAACCTAACAACCTTATGAAAGCAGATTGCTTGCTTCAGCTAGCTAACAAAGAATCATCTTCAAAATTCAGACTGCAGAGGGAATGCAGAAAACTGGAAATTACAAAACAAGGACTAATTTGGACACCTGATAACAGGTAAAAATGTCATAATTGTTAAGGCACTCTTACAAAGATGCGTACGTGTGCATGTGCGTGCACACAGGCCAAGGAGAGAAGAACGTTCTTTTGTGACAACTGATCTGCCTGTCATTTTTGAAAAATCATTGAAGGAAATTCTCAGTACTTGAAAGATTTAATATGCATTTAATGAAGGTAAAAACATTGCTTTTAAAAAATGTTTTAAAAAATCCGTATTTCTAGAGTAAAGGTAAGTTGCTGTACTTAGTATCAAATAAAAGAACTAGTTTGTGCATTCTCATGAGGTTATTTGTAACCTCAATTCATTAGTGTTGGATGCTTTACATGATGAACTTGCAGTGGTGGTTTGAAACGTGGCTTGTGTAATCCTGTGTCCTTTCACTTCTCTCTTCATTCCTCTCGTGTTAGAACTTGAACAGTTGTCTCTTCAAACACAGCCTGGTCCAAAGAGTTCTTTCATAAGACTCTTTTTCCTTTCAGCCAGTGTCATATGAGCGCAGTCTTCTGCTTCAGTTGAACTGTCCTTCTGCCTTGTCTTGGTAACTTTCCCAAAAGACAGTTTGTATAGCCCAAGGAATTTTTCACTTTTGATTCGGCTGTTTCACCGCAGTCCCGACCTGTGTGTCTATGGTGGCAAAGGCTGCCTTTTCGGGGGTTTGTACCTAATGTAGGAAGCCCGCGATGCAAATTCTCAGTGGCTTCTGAGAATACAGGGGGGGTTTTCAGCCTAATGGGTGTGTGGTTTCTTGGACCTGGAGTTACACGTTTAGTCCCTGCCTTCTCACTGTTATTTAGCTGTTCACCTGGCTTTTTTCCTTCTTTTTCATAAGCTTCCACTGCATCTTCCTCTTTATTGTTCTCTTTTACACTGCCACTTAGAGGAGTTTGTTCTGTTTTCATCAGTTTTTTTAGCTCCTGTTTAAGCAAATCTGTCTCTTTTTCTTCTTCTTTCATAAATTCAAAACCAGTGTACTCTTCCCTTAGTAGTCTGCTGTCCCTTAAGTACTCTAAAATGAAATATTGTGGGTTTTAGGAATGTTCTTAAATTGCCTAGGAACATAAGAGTCATGAGGCACTAATGAGAGCAAGTTTTACTTCCTTATTTCATTGCTTAAGTTGTTACTGTTGATGGTATTTCAGTCTTGAGGGTTATGACAATGCTATTTAATAATAAATACAACCATTGAATTGAACTCAGGTACGTATTTTTATCTTTTTTCATTATGTTTAATTTTAGTAAATGAATTGGCATGCAAATATCATCACTAGTGGCTAAATATAGGGCCAGAAGCATCATATACAATGCAATAGAGAAACCACATGAGATCTAAACTCTAGTTGTAATTTTCTTGCTTTTAAATGGAACTTAAATATATGTATGATTTTCTCTCCCTTAATTGACAGCACAGTTGCTTGTTGTGTGGAGCAGAATATACTGCAACTCTAACCTATAAATGAATTGGCTCCACATTTTAGTAGAAAAAGGTATGTGTATACTGAATGCCAACAGTAAATACACTTGTCTGCTGCAGGGGAGAAATTATAATAGGTTCTGTGCTTTGGAGAGACTCAAGAGTACCTCCAAAATGAGAGAGAGAGTCCAAGCTTAAAGGAGAAGTATGAAGTTGTTATAATTAAAATAGCTAAATAAGACTTCAATAAATAACTCTAATATTGGCAATGGGAGAAAGCCAGAAGAGAAATTCACAGGCAGAATCAGAAGACCTGTATTTTCTCTTCATTTTAAAAGGGGATTTCAAAGACAAATGGTGACTTCAGTTATCTGGCGGGGTCTGGAAAGGCTGAAAAGGCAGAGTACAAAATACAGGAGTTAACGCTAGATCACTAGCTCTGTTACTGATCCAGTCAGTGACCTCAACAACCTGTTTCACTTCTGTAAATGCGTGACCTTTAGGTCATGTAATGTCTCCTACCATCTGTGAAGTATTTAGCTTGATGGCATTCAGATCTTGCTTCTTTCTACAAGCCTCACTATAATGAAAATAGCGTGGAATAATTTTAGAAAGAAAAACTCTGATAAAGGAATAGATGCATTGATTCCTCTGTTCTATAGAATCTCTTCAAAATAAAGGTGCCTATAAATGAGCCTCTTGCATCTAGCCGCTATATGAGAACACAATCAATGGCTAAGATTTATGTAAAACCTATTTACAGTGATCATTGTAATAATTCTCAGCCCTTGAAGAAGTCCTTTTCCTTTCTCACCAATAGATCCTGAGCCAGAAATATATGTAGACATCAGCTATGATGAAGATTCACAGCCAACAATTTGAGATCAGCATTTCATTAGTGTGGAATTAACAAACTATTAACTAAAGTACACTTTCACAGATAAACAAGTGTGACCAGGAACTCCTTTTAAAAAGAAGTGTAGCAGTAGGAAGATGCCTTATTCTGTAAAGCTGCTCTGCTGGCAGTGCAGCACCGCCGGCAGCTGGATTTCATATTCTTTTGTTGAACTAGTTCCTGTCAGTCAGGTGTCAGCTAATGGCTGTCAGACCTATGTAAATGACCAATACCAACGGTTCATTCAACTTTTGAAAAGATCAAATGAGTTTCTGAGGAAAATAATAAAATATACCTCTAGGTGTTCCATTAAAAGTTTCTGGCTTTGGTATTTTCTTGGTTGATTGCTTTTCTGTTCTACATTGGGCATCTGTGTATGCTTCATTTGCTTTAGCTTTTTGATTCTTATCTTCAGAAGACTTGTTCTCCTATAATTGGCAATTAAAGGTAAAAATAATGAGGGAATACTTCTTTAGTGACTTTTAAAATTACACAGTCAGTGCAATACTTCTTATAAAAAATCAGTAATTTCTATTACTATTATATTCTTATTTTGTATCACAACATTTGTCCTGCATATTTTCTGTAATATAATTACATTCACAAAATCCACATATTTGAAAGTTAAGACGATGTATTAGGCTATTCAGGCATATTACTGAAATTTCCGGAATAACATACAGCTTAGTTGAGAGTTTAAACAAGGGATTGGATCCAGATCTTTCATACCTTTGTTAGCTGAACTGAACTTTTTTCTGTTTCCTGAGTTTGGTACTGTGACAGCAGCAGTGATCTAAAACTCTGTTTATCTACTTGCACTGATCGATTTATTCTAAGACCTATTGAAAAAGGACAATCGTTAGTAATACAGTAGTTTCTGGAATTACATTGTTGGTACAAACAAAAGATATCTTTGATGACTGATAATACTGGTATGTGGCCTAGGATTTAAACATTTTTTTGCTCCATGTCTTAATGCCCTTTAATAAAGAAATTATTTGTTCTGCCTGACCTATAAATGCTGAAACTAGAACACAACCATAGCTACCTGGACTTTTCAGTGTTTCCATTCATATATTGGTACATCATAAATATACTTCAGTTTTAGATCTACAAAGTCCTTGTGGTGGGTTGACCCTGGCTGGGGG